TCGAACCCGCCACATTAGGTGTACGTGGCTGGCGCCTTAGCCGCTTGAGCCACAGGCGCCGAGCCAAAGTTCTATTTTTGTACGGTTAAGTTGCTCACATTTTTTGTCATACAAAAAACTGGGATGAACATTCCTCTATCTTCATGCACATGTCCAATTATTTCCTGGACACAGATCTTACACATCAATGGTAAGAAACTATTTTTAAAATGTTTTCTAAATGAGATAGAGGTGATAAAACATATTTAGGGAGCACACTAATTTTTGAGTACTGTGATGTGCATAAAATTTTTTAAAGCAAATAAAATTCAAACTTCTTCTTAATAAGTCAAAGAATTTTAACTGATGTTTCCCACATTCTAGCCACTTCAAACTATGAAACTATACAGGTGGAAAGTACAGAAACCTACCATTGACTTGGAAGACAAGACATATCCTAATTTCAAAAAAAAATTTTATTAGTTCTTTAATCAAATGAGAAATAAAGGTTAAGCAGAAAAAGATGAACCCACATTTGTAAAAGGCAATTTTATCCAATTTTTAAAGAAAAATAGTTTTATTATTCTAAGAAATACATGTTCATTATAGAAAATTTGGAAAATACATATAATAAAGAAAACATGAATTTCCAAGAATCCAACAATACATAAATAACCTTACAGTTTTACTGTTTTTTATACATGTGTACTTTTAAACAATTTGCCCCTCTCTACTCTCCCCCTCCACCCTCCCCAAAAGTGGGGAAGGCAGTTCCTAAGGGCCACATCTGAGACTTCCTCCCCACCATTCCCTCAGGGCCCCTGCCTCCTGAGCTGTGGCCCATTTCCTTGCTTACTTCCCAGACTTTTATATAAATGCAGGACCTGCTCCAAAGCATGCCAAGGCTCCTCTGCTCCCAGAACCGCCAGTGCCTAGCATGACAGGAGAACTCAGAGTCAGCTGCCATCTTCCCTTCAGAGCCAGGCTGCTTCCCTGGAACACTGAATATTTATCACAGCTGATCAACAGCTTAAGCAGTAACTAATACCTCTTAAAATTTATACAACACTTCAGAGTTTAAACAGTCCTCCCACACATTCAGTCTTCACAACAACCCTCTGTGGCAGACAGAGCAGACATCCCCATTTAAGAGGAGAGGAAACTGAGGCACAGAGGAGTTGTGTGAACAGCGAAACTGATGATGGTGGAGCTTGAATGTGAAGCCATAAATTGACACCAAGGTCAGAGCTCTTTACCTAACTGATATGCACAAACTATTTTTAAGTCTGACAAGTGGAAATTAAGATGGATCTTCGATAAATCCTCTCATCTAATCGTTCCTCAACAGTCACATCTAAGGAACATCAAGCCCAGAGAAGCTACGAGATTGCCCAAAGTCACCAGCTAGTTAGTCATGAAGGAGATCTAAAGGCACAATCTTCAGGCTCCCAGGCCAGGGTCACTGCAGTCGTCCCTAGAGAGATGTCCTGTAATAAGCTGGTCTCTCATCCGGTGTCTTCTGCTTAGCCAAATGCCAATCAGGAATTACAATCCTAAAAGTGTAGAATGTTAGAGCCCACCCAGGCAACCCACTGTCTTTACAGATGAGGAATGTGAGTCCAAACCCCCGACATTCTGCGTGACACAGCTTCCCTTCCCAACAGTCAGAATCAAAGTCTGGCCACAGATGTTTACTTCCTTTTTTAAAACTCAGTGTGTGAAAGGCCACAGATGAGCAACGCAAAAGTAAAATTAAATAGGATTTGACATTCAGAAAATACTCAGTTCTGCTGGATCAAAGGTTCCCCTTCTACCACTGTCTGCCACCTCCCCAGTGCTCCAGAGGGAGACTACTGAAATGTGTTTGTGGCTTAGGAAAGGGCACCCAGGGAAACTCCAGAAGTCACCTAGCTCTGTAATCCAAGGAAATGTAGCAAAAGTCTTTGACTAAAGGCTCTTACTCCAAAAATCAACCAGGAATCCTAATTAAAAGTGACAGCACCTCACCAGGGCTGTCACAGCTCCCGGACACCCAAATGACTCAGCCCCTTCTCTTAAGATTACTGAGTACCATTGAAATGGGCACATGACTGTAGGCCACCTCAATTCCTCAGCAGTTCCAAAGCCCTACCTAGCCTTATGTCTCCAATGAGACGGAAAGCTCTTTGAAGGCAAGGGAACGCTTCCTCTATTGAACAGCTATTGCGTGCCAGACACTGAGCTTGGCGGCGTAAGAAATGGCCCCTACGTTCAAGAAACTTACAAGAGGATAAGAAGCAGCGAAACTAAGCGTAGTCATTCGCGTAAACAGGAAGCCAAGGAGTCCAGAAGAAGGGCCTCTCCTGGCAGGGTGGTGTAGTTGCCCAGGCCTAAAAGATAAGTAAAACCAGCTGGGCAAAGCAAGGTGGGAGGGCAAGCCAGGAAGGCGGGCCGGCGTCGGCCAGGGCCAAGAGAGGAACAGCTTGGTTTACAGGGTAGAAGCAGTTCACCGTTGCTGGGACCTCAAGTCCGAGGCGGGGAGTGGTGGGAGTTCAGGCTGGAGCGGTGGGCCTAGCAAAGAGGCAGCAGGCAGGCAGCCCGCGTAATTCCCGCTGACTTGGTACCGGGGTGGGAGGACCGCTTACGCAATTCGCAAGTGAACGAATTTGGGCGCCCATGGCGAGGCTCTGTCAATGACGGTCGGTGGTGGCGCCGCCAGCCCCCCCCTCCCCCGTGCACCTGTGCGTCTTCGCAGCTGCCAAAGGAAACGCAGATTTTCAAAGCGGGCCCGCAAGCTCCGGGCCACGGCCACTGCCACCCTGGCCCCCAGCCCCGGACCCCCAGTATATTCGCTCCAGTTAAAACGCCTGTTGACGCACTGTGGCAGCCGCCTGCGCGCTAGCCGGCGGCCCGGCGGTTTTCTCTGCAGTCACCACCGGTTTTCCCGAAGAGTCCCTGCGGGCCTACCCGACCCGGGGCTGGGGGCGGCGAAGGCTGCCTCGCCGGCTGGCACTAGGCCGGGCATGGCCGGGGAAGGGGTCGGTGCCATCTGGGGCTCGCGCTAGGCGCAGTGCCGAGTCCGTGCTCCCGGGGCAGCGCAGCGGGAAACAAACAAGACGAGCGCCCTCCTCTCAGCACGCCCGCGGCCCTGGGGACCAGGGGCAGCGAAGGCTCCCCGGGCGGCAGCCGGGCTCCCCGCGAGGCCGGGCCGGGGCCAGGCGCTCTCGGCGGGGGCGCGAGCGGCGCCCAGGAGCGGCTCTGGACAGGGGCGCGCTCGGCCGGGGAGCGTGGTGGCCCGGGGCCCACGCGCCGGCGCCCAGGCCGCTGTCATTACCTGGCCAGTGTGGTTTTCCCGGAGCCCGGGAGGCCTCGCAGAAGGTAGAGGTGTTTCCTAAAGCGGCGCGGAGGTGTCCCCCGCGGGGGCGGCGGCCGAACCCGCTGCTGCGGCGCGGGCTGCTGCTGCTGCTGCTGGAGGCTCAGCCTCCCAAAGGATTCAAGAAAACTGTCCTCCATGGGGAGGGGGCTGGCTGTGAGGGCCCTGGGTTCCCTTTCCTGAAGTCACGGTCTTGGCCAAAGCTGTTGTTTTTGTGACTCTCCGGCCATGTGATAGATGGAGGGGCGGGCGCTCGGAGACCAGCCCCTCCTCCCCACCCGCCCGAGCCGCGCTGCGTGGGAGGGGGCGTCCCTACCTGGAGAGCCGCGGGCGCTGGGAGATTGAAACAGCCCAGAAAACGCGGGTGACGCAGCCCCCACACCACCCCGGCGCCGCCTCCAGGTTCCTGCCGTGCCCTTCGCCCTACGGGAGGGGAGGGGGCGCCCCATGGAACTCCGGGACACTTCCCTGTAGTTGCTCTGGAAGCCAGCCCTCCGACCACAGGCCTCCTACACCCCAGCTTAGACCTTGAAAGTGAAATAATTTTAGTTGAAGATTAAGGAACGTGAATAGCATTTGTAACAGTAACAGTAAAGGCCACTGTGTCCCCCAGTTTGTGAAAAGCAACATCTGGCTGGTGTCCCAAGGGCGAACACTGCTCTCCCTGGGCCAGTATCTTAGCCAAAAACATTCTTAGAAAGCTTTGTTGTCTCTATTTAACTTTAAATCTCTTCTTCCTCAGAAAAAGCACCCCTTAAAAGTCAGATTGTCTTATGAACTTATGGCCTGCTTTGATGCCATCTGAAAAGAAACCGGGGCCTAAGAACTCTTTCAGATCTACGGGGCACACTCGCAGAGAAGTGCACAGACTCAAGCTTCGAGTTCCAGAACTAGTGAGCACCCATTGGTTGATCACCATAGTGACTCTCCAATAGTTCGCACTCGGGAACATGATAGAGTGATCCTGTTTTCTGAACCAAAATTCAGCATGTGCAAAACCGAAAGAAACAATATTCAAAATCCTGGAAATTCCAGGCTATGTGGTGGCTTTGACTATAAAAATTAACGTAGATAAATTTTGTTTCTGGCAGGTAAGTTATGGAAATTGTGAAAAGGAATTGTGAAGGTGTGAATTCTTTCCAAAAACGTAGACCTTTCACCAAGAGCGTTAGGAAGAGGCTATTCAGCTAGGGGCGCGCTCTGTGCTGAGAACTTCGAGTTCCCCTTGGGGATTTCCCTCTGGGGGTGGGGCAGGCGTGGAGGATGAGCGGCTCTCCCTTCAACATCCCTTCCCGGCCAGGAGAAAGTAGACTGTCTTGATTCTTCTCGGTGCTGCTCAGAGACAAGGGAATTTCAAAGGCTTCTCTAATATGGTGAAAACCATAAGGAACAGAAAATATATGTGAATCATAAAAATAGTGACACTTATACGCTAAGTGTCCAGTCTTCTTAGAAGCATGTTTTTACCCAGCCTGAAAAACTGCCTTTTCCATTCTAGACCTGCACTATCCAGTATGAGAGCAACTAGTCACATGTGGCTGTTGAGCACTTGAAATGTGCCTGGTATGAACTGAGTTTAAAATACACACCAAATTTCAGAAGTTCAGTAGGAAAAGAAGAGACCTCTCACAGGGTGAAGCACACAGGCAGGAACCTGGAGGCGGCGCAGGGGTGGTATGTGGGGCTGGGTCACCTACGTTTTCCCGGCTACGTTTAATTGATTTCATGTTAAATGATAATACGTTAGGTATATATTGGATTAAGATATTATTAAAATTAAATTCACCTTTTTTTTAAAAATTTCAGAATATTACAGGATTTCTTTCTTTCTTTTTTTCTTTTTAAGACAGAGTCTCACTATGTCGCCCTTGGTAGAGTGTTGTGGCGTCTTGGGCTTAAGAGATTCTCTTGCCTCAGCCTCCCAGGTGGCTGGGACTACAGGCGCCCACCACAACGCCCGGCTATTTTTTACTGCAGTTGTTATTGTTTAGCTGGCCCAGGAAGGGTTGGAACCCGTCAGCCTTGGTGTATTTGGCTGGCACCACTGAGCTATGGGCACCGAGCCAGTTTCTTTATTTTTAATTTGGCTACTAAAAAGTTTAAGTTACATATGTGGCTGGCATTGTATTATATTTCTCTTAGACAGTGCTGCATGAGATTTCTGTCCACTTCCATTTCTCTCTAGCAGGTGTCCAGGGCAGCAAGCTTTAAGGTTAGGGTTTCCGCACACTGAGCCTGCAGGGCCTTGTGGTGGGTGGAGCTACCTACTGAATGCTGGGAAACGGGAGCTTGCTGCTGAGAAGAGAGGGCTGAGCTGAGACCGAGAGCTGGAAATCCTTGCCCTATGAAGAGATAGAGAACAGCAGACTGCTGAGGAGGGCCCCTGAGGACACCGACTTTCAGGACTGTGCCTTTGAAGTGCAGCCAGCAGAGGAGGGGACCACTGATGGTCAGCAGGGTAAACAGAACACTAGGTGTACAGGAGCACAGGGAGGGAGGCCTGGAAGTGACCCTGGACACTTTGGTTTTCCTTTCATTAATGTTTAACTCGACAACAAGCCTATTATCCCCAATGTATTCCTTAAAACCACACAGTTAGAGTTAACTGTGTATCTTATCTGGTGCTTCCCAGTAGACTGTAAATTTAAGAGCATGCATAGCATCTTTCTCAACCTTGTCAGTTGAGGATCTAACACAATGCCTGACATTCAGAAGGTGCTTAATAACTGAATGTGGACCTGAACTACTTTCTCAGTAGATGAACTGAGTTTGAGATTTACTAAAAATGAAAACTGGGCTGGGCGCCCATAGCTCAGTGGTTAGGATGCCAGCCACATGCTCCGGGGCTGGTGGGTTTGGACCGGGCACAGCCTAGTAAACAACAACAACAAAA